ACACACACACACACACACACACACACACACACACACACACACACACACACACACGCACATGTGGTTTCTAGGTCTAAATTGTACAAGAGGAACAGCTATGAATCTTTGAACTGAGCAGAATTGCACCCATCAATACGGACAAACAGTGTAGAGACATACTTCTGCAAACTGAGGATGCCAACATATTTCCATGCCCTTGGGTCTCCATGTTTCCAAAATACACCATACTCAGCAGAAAATTTGCCCCTATTTTCCTTCCTAATGTCTGGCATGCTGGTGCTACTATGGATAAATACAGTTTTTCTTTATTTCCAGCCCTGATCGATTCTTCCTTCAGGGAGCTGTAGATTGGATACAGCATTCTGCCTCTCTCATTGAAAAATAAAGTTGACAGCATGGGTCTGTGATTTCTCTGTTGATGAGTGACCTGTGTTGGAGTGGCCAAAAGACCTGGGAAGGAGGGGGTGTCAGGAGCACAATCACAGTGACTACAGAGCGTTCTTCAGCTCATTCTGGAGTCTGTGGCAAGTGACGTGGAGAGGCATGCTTTCCAGAAGCTGGGGGTGGGAGGTGGGTGTTGATGCAGACACCGCTCTATGGGTGACTTTACTCTGGGGATTACCTGTGCCTTTGTAGGAGTCTGTGGTGATCAGGCAGTGTGTGGGAACAGACATTTAGTGGGCAGCAGAGGGAGGATGAAGCATGTGGTGGCTGAGGGGCATGCTGTGTACCTGGGCGGCTGGCTCCTTAAGGATGTGTTGTGCAGCTGTTTCCTCTGGGTTGAGTTGATAACTGCTGTCAGTACTCCCTCACGGAGAAAGAGGAATGAGCATGGGACTCCCAGGGCTTGGAGGTAGACAACAGAAACCATATTCTTGTAATCCTAGCACTAGAAAAGGCTGTGGCAGGAGGATTAGGAGTTCAAGCAAGCCTTGGCTACACAGTGAGTTCTAGGACAGCCTGGGCCATGTGAGATCATGCTCAAGAAGTAAAAGAGCAAAGCGGAACAAAACAAGAAGGTAGACAATGGGCCCTGGGTTAGGAAACTCTTCTGTGCAGCAGTCTGTTAAGTTGCCCGAAGAATTTTCCTGTGGTGCATGAGTCACCCATGTTCCTGTAAGGTATGTACATATATTGGCTCACCTAGCTGGACAGGATTGGGAGCCTTTCTCAGGTCTATGGATGTCTTCACTATCTGGGCTGCATAGATAGTTCTTTATACGCCCCCAGGAGAGGTCCCACAAGAGAATCTTACCCTGGGAACCCCCAGCCCAGTAATTCTAGATAGTCATTATGTCACTAGTCTACAAACTGTTTTATTAAATGTGGATACCTTGTTCTCTTCACTCATCTAGAGTTAGCCTCATAGAAACCTCTTGGCAACTGGGTGCCTCCATTGTCGAGGATCTCAGTGTTGATCCACTATGGCATCCAGCATCCCTGGCTTTTTTTTTTTTTTTGTTGTTGTTCTTCTTGATAATGTTCACCATTGCTCTTGACACTGCCACTCCTTTCCTATTACTTGCCTGCGTCAGCCTGGACACCGTATGGACACATAACGTTTGGGCCAGAGCATCTCTCCATGTGCCACTGTGGCTGTCCCAGGGGTGGACAATAATCGAGTCAGCACAGTTAAGATACACTTGGGGGATGCTCGCTGAATTTGAAGGAGAGGTCCTCATGCTTCCACTTATCCTCCCCCTCCATGCCAGGATATAAGCTTACCAGTGCCAGCAGCTTCTTTGCCATCATGGTATAATTTAGTATGCTATGATGAAAACCAAACTGCTCATTGTGGTCTAAGAGCCAGCCCCCGCACCGATAGTTTACGTAATCTCCAATGTAATAGTGTTAGGATTGGGGCTCTCTGAGAGATGAGAAGTTCGGTTAAGGCTGTGAGGGAAGGGTCACAGGAAGTGTTCCCCAAAATAACCAACACCAGAGCTTCCTACCTCCACACATAGAGAAGGAAGTCATGTGAGTATACATGAAAACAGTGCCAACCTAAAGCCTGGAGATGAGCCCTTAGAAGTAAACCTATCATGTCGACACTTTGAGCCTAAATTCTGGAACTGTGGAAAGTCTGAGTCACCCACTCTGTGGAATTTTGTGTGGTAGTTCAGGCTGAAACACTGTCTCAGGTTATACTTACGAGCATACACACACACATACACACACACACACACACACAATATGCATCCAATAACAATTAGTGAAGCCATGATTTGAAGGAAAGCATGGAAGTTTACGAGAGGGTTTAGAGGGAGGGATGAAAGGGAGAAATATCATAATTATAATCTCAACAATAAAAAAACAAATAAAACCTTTTTAAAATTTAAAAACAGACAGAGAGATTAGACAACGTCTTAGAATGAACCAGTACAGAAGAAAGTAGAAGATGGAGTTAGAGAGAAAATCAACTCTGACACCGCTATTTGATCCTCAGTCCAATCTTGCCTGAAGCCCTCTGAACTTTTCAATGGCCAGGGTTTGCCCTCCCATCAGGTTGTTTTTCTTTAAGCCAGGTTTGAGGCCATCTTTTTCTTCTTCACACACATTGACTTTAACATAAAGTAGAAAGCCAGAAAGAGCCACCTTTAACAAATGGCTTCTGGATAATCAGGTCTTTTCAGGCTCCAGAGAGATGCAATACTGCATGTGAATTTTCTTTTATAAGACACATGTATGAGAATCAGTGAGTCCCAGAGTGCAGCTCCCTAGCCCACTGATACGTTCCCAGAGTGAAAGGGCATCAGGCTGCCCAGGAGGCGGGGATGGCTGGTCACAGGGGGATACAGATATGCCTCAGTACAGCTCACTGTGCTCATTTTCAAACTTCTCTCCCCCACAAACCCCATCACTTCAGCTATAGGCTGTATCCCCATCTTAAACCCCGAGGGTGGAGCTCAGGGCAAATGAGCTGTCCACAGTCCTGTGCTTCAAGCAGTGGTCTCTCAGCCCACCTACCCTCAATGGCTATTCATCTTCACCCCACGTACTGCTTTTCTGGCTGGGGAGTGGAAGGGAAAGTCATTTGGAAGCAGCACAGGCTTGTAGAGTCCAGCCTCCCCTCGTGCAGCTGGGCTGCACTGCCAAAGGCCCCACAACCTCCCAAATCAGCTCCCGCTGGAGACCAACTGTTCCAACATGTAAGTTTTTGAGAGACGTGTCCTATCCAAACCATAACACTTTACGTAGACAAGGTTTGCCCTCACTTGTTACTGAGCTCTGCCTATACCTGTGAGATCACAGGATGTCTCCCATAATCCTGATTTCTATGAACCCGGGCCATTGTGCCCCTCGAGAGCTCTGCTTGTATCAGCCCTCATCACCATGCTCTTTCTACTGTCCCCTCTGATGTTATCTTCTCCCACTGCCTCTCTTCTTCGCTTTCCAGCCACACCAGCCACACTACTGCTTCTGCCCTGGGCTGTGTGCGTGCTTCTTCCTGCTTCCCACCAATGTCAGTGCTTTGCTTTCTTTCATCTTTGCATCTTGGGCTACTTCTTTTCCTTCCATCCTTTACCTCAGCTTCATTCCTCTCTGTGATGCCCTGTGTCACTCACTCTCTGTCCATTGCTCCCTCCTAGGAGCCACTCTCCGAGGAACACAGCTTACTTACTCAAGGCACTGAACAACACTGTGGACAGGATCATGAAGAGCAAAGCACACATGCAGTGTGTGTGTGTGTGTGTGTGTGTGTGTGTTTTGGGGCTGTGGTAATTGCCTCTGTGCGTTTATTTTGTCATTGGTGGTATGTGTGCATGGTAGGCTATTGATGGCATGTGTGTTGTATGCATTATGGCATTTGTGTGTATATGTTTTGCTATGTGTCTGCATGCTGTGGCATGTGCCTCATTCCCCACAAACCCTTACAGAACTCACAGAGATGGCAGTCACTGCAGACATACAAACCACAGTCTCGCGCTGTCATTTAAGCTGGTGTGTTTTCTAGGTCCTTCTTTCCTCCCTCCCACAGAGCCTCACTCTGGGGTCCTAGCCCACACTTCTTGGGATTTGAGGAAACAAGCTGGCAGTTCACAACACACACAGATATAATTTTAAAAAAAAAGAAGGAAAGAAAAAAGGCAAGAGTGGAAATTTATCAGACAAGTAGCTGCTCCAGGGAGCATGTAAGAGTGTACTGGTGGCGACTGGCTGGGATCTGGAAGACAAGGCTCTGAGTGGGTAATCCCAGGGTGACATAAGGACATCATTTCCTACTTTTGTCCATAACTCATCTGGGAGACCCTGCCCAGGTGGGCCTGAAGTCAACTTTGTGGTTGATGTTAAATTAGCTTTTACTCTTCCCCGGCGAGAATGAGGACTTAAATCTGTTTTGACTAAGCCAGACCCTACCATGTTAATAAACAATGTCCTATCTTTTAGCATTTAGAAGTTTTAAGCCTTGGGCAATGCCTGTGTGTGTGTGTGTGTGTGTGTGTGTGTGTGTGTGTGTGTGTGTGT